ATTTACAAACCAAAGATAAGAGGATTATTCATTGTATTAGACTTGAAAACTGGAGTTTGAATTTTTCAATGAGGAGTCTGTATCCTCCTACTCTTTACCTCATACATTCCCTCCTTGCCATCACCCCCTGAGATAGTCTTGGGGAATTTGTCTGAAAAGAATTTAAATATTATGTTTCTGCTTGGCTTTGATGTTATATATGTTGTACATATATATTTATATATGTGTGTCTATATGCATATATATACACACTTAAACACTGTGCAAATACTCTGAATATTGTGCAAGGATCCACTCCCTGAAGGGCTCAGAGTCACTTCCTCTTGCTCCAGCCTTGCTGGTCCCAGGTGGGGTGAGGATGGGAATAACTCTTCCCTTCAAAGTCTGCTTACACTGATGGGATACAACACCGTGGTGGTGTCCCCTCTCCCGTCCTTCCCTGGGCACCCAGCGGGCAGTTCCTAGTCTCTGTTGCCCAGCATAGCCCCATTTCTCTCAGGTGGTGCATGGGAGGTGTCTGCGTTTGCAGCCAAACCTGACATCAGGGCATGGCACCTCTGAGACTGGGCTGGAGCTGTGATCTGCAGCATTAGAGATAATGAGAGTAGGAAACCCCCCAAAAGAATGGCTGGAACTACCTGAATACCCTCTTGTATACCATCCTACAGATGGTCCTGCAGATTCTCTGACAGGTCTCCTTGATCTTGATGTGAAGAGAGATTATTAGTGTTAATTTCCATTGCCATTTGTTCCTCAAACTCCAGTTTTGAACTGCCATGTTTCTATATGTAATCTGCCACTGTGTAAGTTAAGTGTATTTTCTTCATTTGTCCACAGCTTTAGCTTTTGTTGTTTATCACAACCTCCCTTACCTTACTGTTTAAGTTGAATGCAGCTACTTCCATTGCCATAACCTCTAGACCACTCCAGCTGTCAGTCAGTGTGCAAGCTCTAAGATTTCCTTTGCTCACAGCCTTTAGGCAGAAAGATAGAGAAAGACCCCCTGGAAGTGCCTGTGTTAATGGTATGGCTGTGAGCAGGGGAGAGGAGATCCTGGGGGCTTGGTGGCAGCGCTTTCTGTGCAGCACACTGCAGAGACTGGCAACACTGCTCCAGCCCTGAGATGGCAAATGAACAGCGAAGGCATCCAGCTGCCGTAAGTGCTCCCCAAAGCAACACTACTACTACATTTTATTATATTACTCAATTTTTTTTTTTTTAAGAAGTAAAACCCCACAGAAGATGCTCACTCAGGAGAGTTATCACACAAATTACAGCTGTTGCCCGAGGAAGGGGGAGGACAGTCAGCACCTTTCCCATGGATTTGCCTGCTTTTTGGCCAACTTTTTTCCGTCTGATTGAGGATTGAAAACTCCGGCTGCAGCTGGGGAGGGGAGTGAGGGACCGATGCTGCCCCCAGCCCCTGCGGAGCGCTGTCGGGTGGGTTTCCTAGGGAAGCAGATCTGAAGCGAGGGGCAGGAGCCAGAGGGCACCGAAATGGGCTGAGAACTAAGGGCTTCTCCTCATGTGTGAAACCTTGTGCTAAGAAATGCCTTGCAGGTGGTGAGCCCTGGGCCCTAACTGACTAGCAGAGTTTTGCTGTTATTTCATACCAAGCAAAGTCATAGCTATCCTGGGACAATGTTCACTTTGAAGAATGAAAATAACTGAATTTAGTATAAGAATTTTTCCTGTGGAAAAAAAAAAAACCCTTGGAGATATTCAAAACTTGCCCTGAGCAACTTGATCTTACTTTGAAGTTGGCTCTGCTTTGAGCAGGGGGGTTGGACCAAATGTCATGTAGAGGCTCCTCTAAGCTGAATTGTTCTCTGCTTCTGCAAAACAGCTGCAGCTACTGAGAAGTCTGCAAATCAACTGCTATAAAACTAGATATATCACAGTGTTACTGCAATAACTTTGAGGGCAAAACTCTCCTCTAAGCTTGTCCTAACAGTGAGTTCTAAGTAAATTTCCTTCCAGACTTAATCTCTTCCTTACGTGCTGAGTGCCTTTTCTATTTTCCATCAATTTATAAGCTTTTACAGACACTATCTCATCCCCTCCCTGAAGCATCACTTTCCCAAGCCACAGAGATTTATCCTTTTGAGCACTTCCTTTACATCTCCTTCTGATATTGTTTGTGTTGTCTGGGACCTTTGGGCATTTGAAGAGTTAATCTGCTGTAAATACTGGCTGCAA